AAAAAAAAAAAAAAAAAAAAAAAAAAAAAAAAAAGAATCAAAGATAATATATTTAGAGAAATTTGTTTGCATTCTATAATAAACTTGAAAAATTTTAGTAATAATACAAATAATTATAGAATTTTATTAAATCAACTTCGAAAATATTCTGAAAATCTTCTGTTATATGATATAAAATATATTGATAATCATGCTATACCTAAAATTTAGTTAATTTGTAGACAAACTGATAATTATATTTAATAATCGTATTAAAAATGTTTGCTATTGTTTTTCATTAAGTAGCATATGAAAGAGTTTTTTTAGTATTAAATTAGATGATTAGAAAAAAAAGTACAAGATATTATAAAATAATTTATTATATTTTTTTAATTAAAAAAAAAAATTTAAAATATTAAAATTAATTATTATAAATATAATAATTATTTTAATATACACTAGTTGAAAAAGTAAAATTTGACCTCTAATTGAAGGTTGAATTTCAAATTTTTGATCGAATTCAGGTCGAATTGGCCAAAAAATTTAACCTATAATCAATCTATAATCGATCTAAAAACTACTAATCAGCTTAAAATTAGCATCTGATTTTAGGTTGAAAAGTTAATTTTAAAATTTGACCTAAAATTAGACTCTAAATTTAAACTGAATTTTATATACATTCAACCTAAAATCAACTTCTAAATTTTGAGGTTGATTTTAGGTTGAATTTATATAAAATTTGATCTAAATTCAGAATCTAATTTTAGGTCGAATTTTAAAATTAACTATTTAACCTAAAATCGGATACTAATTTTAAGCTGATTAGAAGTTTTTAGATCAATTATAGGTTGATTATAGGTTGATTATAGGTCAAATTTTTTGGCTAATTCAACTTGAATTTGACCAAAAATTTGAAATTCAATCTTTGATTAAAGGTCAAATTTCACCTTTTCAACCAGTGATAATAAATATATTTATTTTAATATATTAAAAATTATTTATTTATAATTTAAAATATTTTAGATTAAATATTAATCTTTTTTAGTTAATAGCTCAAATACATTGTTTTTATATTACAAATATAAAATCAGAATTAAAATTTCCTAAAGAAAATTTTAATAAAAATGAATTAGAAAATATAATTAATAAAATATTAATATCATTAATTGAAAATAATAATTTTTTTAATAATAAAAGTGAAAATGAAGAAAATGAAAATAAAAGAGATAAAACCAATTTTAAAAATTTACTTATAGCTGAAATGATTGATTTAAATTATTTAAATTTTAATGAAACTGAAAATAGTTTAAATTTAAATAAAACTATTTTAGAAGAATTAGAAGTTGAAAAAAGTTCTGATATTGATATAGAAACAATTTATGAAAAAGAATTTCAATAATTTTATTGAAATTAAAATATAATTTAGTATTTAGAATTAATTTTTATTTTATTTTTTAGTTATTTTTTTTTCCTGTTGCAGGTTTTTTTATTACTATAATATGTGACTTAAAATATTATAGTTAAATTTTATTTGTTTATTTTATTAGAATTTTTGTTTTTATTTATTTTATTTTTGATATTTTTATTATATTTTAAATTTAAATTTATTATTTTAAAATAAAATTTTATTTTAAATTATAAACATTTTAATAAATATAATATTTTAAAAAAATTAAATATTAAATTATATGTTTATTATAATATTATAATAATAAAATATTTTAAAACAATTAAATATTAAATTATATCTTTATTATAATATTATAATATAATATTTAAAAAAAATAATTAAATTATATACTACATACTGTATTATAGCTTATTACAAATATAATAAAATATTTTAATAATTTATAAAAAAAATTAACCCATATATAATTACTATGTAAATTATATATGATCTGAATATAAGTTAAAATAGCTTAGAAATTATGAAACTAATATTTTTCTGTAACATAACTTAGCTTCATTAAATCAGACTAATCTTTAAATAATTATTAAAAAATTCATCTTTAAAGTATTATATTATTATAATACTATACTAT